TCAAACTTTCAAGCTGAACCCCCTTAAACCTACAATCCATGTTGACACCGAACGATAAATTAGCTAGAATAGGGCCATCTTCATTGGTGGCAGAAAGACAGGCGGTGAGTCATTTGCTTGCACAGATGAGAGCCCACTCGCCAGCGTCCGTTTAAGAAAAAGAACAAGCTCAATGACAACAAAATATGAACACGCGACGTACATTGTGCGGCGGTTCATGTTAAGCGTGGCTACTTTGTGTCCCATGTTGTCCTGAACAGTACACATCATTGATGTCGCTCTAACTATACAAGAAACACATTTGCAATAGATTTGCCGTGTTAGTTTTCACGTTTTGCTACCTATTTCAGGTGTCAGTACACTTATCTGCCACGGGTGGAGGACGACAACGACCGATGTGTTCCCGATAACTGAGGGCCTTCTACTAGTCTAACGTTTGACAATTGCCTGTGTCCAATTAGTCTGCGCTGAGCCTTACATTGCCTATAATGAAGTGGGCAGAACAAACCTACACACTCTTAGTGGGAATCCAGTTTCCTTGCATCATGGCTGCAATACAGGCGCTTTTTTCTATCATCATCGATTGGAAAAAAGAATGTTTTGACTAGCACACAAAATAAGTGCAGACTTGCAGACTGCATCCTGGCTCGACAAAGGTGTGCTCAAGTTGAGAGCGCTTCAAAATAATTTTACCCGCATAAAACACCGGATCACAAGAAGCCACAGCCGGCAACAATGGCTAAAACCATGCAAAAACAAGCTAAACAGCAAGTTTCTGAAGGTGGTTTTCCTGTGAATGCACAATGTTTTCAGAGACCAGCAGGTGATGGCAAAACCATCTATAGTTAGATTGATTATGTGACCTCCCAGTGTCAGACTATCACGTACAAACATGAAACTAAAAAAGCATGAAAAACTCTGTCTGGTGGCTGATACCATGATGTTGATGAGCAGTGTGGCAAAATAAGTTAATTGCTTTAGAAGAGCAAGGCAAGCTGTGGGAGAGGTCAGAAAAGTGCAAGAGAACAGGGTGAAAGAGTTTGGTAGCTTTAAAAAAATAAAACTTTTCCATCCTACCCCTTACATTGTTCACTACACCTTAACAATATGAAAATATACTTTCATACTATCATCTGTATTACTAAGCATTCTATTCACTGTAAAATAAATTCACGGAAGTAATTGCCAGGGGGTGGCACAACGGGCCCGTGCTCCCCCCCTCCTTTCTTCAAAATTTTTTTTTCCTGCCATGGCATACAGAGTAAAGAATGACCATTTGCCTGCCTGGCACCTACTTCAGATCATTAGGCTGCCCCCCCCCCCCCCTACCCGATAAAATTCATGCCTACACACCTGCTACATATATAAGATTGATTTGTGGGGTTTAACGTCCCAAAACCACCATTTGATTATGAGAGACGCCGTAGTGGAGGGCTCCGGAAATTTTGACCACCTCGGGTTCTTTAACGTGCACCCAAATCTGAGTACACGGGCCTACAACATTTCCGCCTCCATCGGAAATGCAGCCGCCGCAGCCGGGAATCGAACCCGCGACCTGCGGGTCAGCAGCCGAGTACCTTAGCCACTAGACCACCGCGGCGGGGCTGCTACATATATAAGCCAACAAGAACAGCACACTTCATCAGGCTTAACAGCAAGCAAACTTTTGAAATTGGAAATTCATATTTGCATTCCAATTTTGCACATTTGCAATTCAAGACCCAATCTTTCGGGCATCTGCAGCAGTACTCTATAAACTCATCCCTTGGTAAACTACGATTTGTCTCAAGATTGCGTTAAAAATCTCAATGCCCCAAGTTCCAAATTCAAGCAAAGGCACACACACACGCTGCCGACAGTTGATAGGTACAGTCGAATCTCATTATTTCGAACATGTTTAATTCGAACTTCCGGTTAATTCGAACTCCGGATGAGGTCCCATCAAAGCTATTTGCATTCCAATGAGCGAAAACGCCCAGTAATTCAAACGCGCAAGCACTTGCGTTGGTTAATTCGAACATGCCGCTCGCCGAAAATGCTCTCAGCCCGCCGCCCAATCCCGCGGCGGCACCTGCGACACCTCAACGCTGCGCGCGAAAGTAATGAAAAGGAAAGAAAAGGCTGCGGTCGAATGTTTGCTCTCCGTCATATGCCGATCTGCGACGCGCCCGTGTCACGCTTCTCCCTTTTTCGTACCTGCCACGTAAAGACCCTTCTACTTCAAACCCCGCGCACGAAGAGAGAGAGGGAAAAAGAAAAGAAAGCTGTCGCTGTGCTGAATGGATCTGTGGTCGAAGGAAAGGAAAAAGACACTATCTCTGCAGCCCTTGCCCCTGGTGTGAGTACAGCTCTGCGCCATGAGGGAGGGGGGTCTCTCATGCGCCATTGCCACGCTTCCCCCTTTCCCATCCCTGTCACGTAACCTTTTTCCTTTAAACGATGCGTGCGAAAAGAGCAAAAAAAAAAGCTGCCTTGGAGTGTAGGTTTTCTCTCAAATGATGATTAGCTTCTCTCTGCTACGCAGTCGTTGTCGTCGCCTTTAGAAAGTGTCGGCGCTGGACATTTCCGCGCGCAACTTCTCTTGCCAGGAGAATGCTGAAGCCGAAGTAGAAATGCTTTGCAAGCTGCGTGCGAAATTGATTGACTCGCTGCAAGGCAAACCTGTGCAGATGCGCATCACCGATTACTTCAATTCATAATGGATGTCATGCGATTAGTGAATAAATGTAAGTTTTCTGAAACTTCCCCTTCATGTGTTAGCTCAATGCACAAGCGCCACTGCATGGAGAGCCCTCGATTTATTTAGCTTTCATTATTTCAAACTTCTTTTGATGCGAACAAATTTTCGGGCCCCTTGGAGTTCGAATTATCGAGATTCGACTGTATGTGGAGCAACGATTGAAGTGCTGTTCTTTGCCCACGTGGATCAATGCAGACACGAAAAAAATGTGGGTGAATGTTTGAAGGTTAGAGTAGAGTTTAACAAAAGGTAACAAAGGGCCATTGACAACCCTGTACAGGCATCAATGCTTGTGTATGATGAAATGAGCAAATAGTTGTACACAGTGCGCCTAGCAACCAATTTGTCCTATAGTGTTTTTCAATAAAACCAATGCAGCACATGATGGTCTGTGAAAACAGAAAACGGTTGTCCAATAAGTATGGCCAGAACTTTGCAGCCTCCAAAACCACAGCCGTACACTCACGCTCAGTGATGAAATAACTGCACAACAAGATTAAGAGGAGGCAACTGGTATAAGTTGTCGCCAAATTATAGCTGCAATAGTACTATGCTGATTCCATGGCTGTTGGCATCTGTAGAACTTTCGTAGGTAAAGTTGTAGGTAGAGAAGAATGAAAATCGTCCAATATCAGCAGAACAGTCAGAAAAGTGATTAGGAGAGAGAATTTAAGGCGAGAGAATCGGTCCTCGCATACCCAATGTAAATGGGCTTCTTTAAAATACTGTTTGAGTGGTGGCATTAAAACAACTAATATCTTCACACAAAAAAAGAGGTATGCGCGAAGCCTGTTGAAGCTGCGTACATCTTTAGCCCACTGTGAGGGGCAGAGGATTCAGTGGCTGCACGAATGTTTTCCGAGCCTTGTTGCACTCCATTTCTATCAACAAGCTTACCGAGGATGGTGATGTGGCGATGGCCAAAGTGGCAATGAGAATAACGAATGGCAGACTGCCTCGATGAAAAATGCACGAAAGTAACGTTACATGCTCACAGTGCACTTCAAAAGTAGTGGCAAGAACTATTATGGCATCCAGGTCGCATACATATGTGAACTAGTATTTGAAACTTTAAAGGGCCCCTAAAGCACGCAGTGTACGAAGACAAGAAAGTAGTTTTCTACTCACCTTTGCAACAATTCCTACAAATGCTATCTCTTCCTCACCAATTAATTCTTCATAAAACACGTGGAATGTCAGCACTAAGCGTTCAGCCAGTCAAAACTTTGTGCTTATCAGTGACAAGCTGCTTTCTCCACTTGTGCAGTCACAAAAGCAGAAAACGAAGGGAAATCAGTTTATCGTGGATGATAGACATGTGAGACAAGGCTGAACGAGTATGCGACTGTACGGCAAAGCAGTGTAGAAGACAATTCACAACAGATATCTCTCGTATATTGACCAATCAAAAGCCTTTTTCATCCCGACGTCATGTGAGCAAACTCCTGCGGTCACGAATTGTGCCGCCAAGAGAGGAAACGCCAAAAGAGAAGAGCACGATTTTTTTTAGTTCTTTTATAGTCTAGTTAGGGGCCCTTTAAAATAGAGGGTCCACTATGCACTCCATTTTGATGGCAGTATAATATTGCATAAAATAAACAGCACCAATTTGAACTGATCAAAGAAATCAGGTGTTAAGAAGGGGGTATTTTTAGAGTCTAAATCGTCTACGGCAATTCATCAGTAGCTCTAGCAAATGTCAATAGGAGAGAAGTAGCAAGCAATGTGAAGGCAGTGAAGAGTCTCACTGATAAGATGCATGGTGTACACATCCTTTTTGTAGCTCTGTAAATATGGCATTAATAAATGCAGGAATGCCATAATGTACCCCTTTTTACAATTAGGACAATAGGTTGCAGCCACAGACTACATGACGGTTCAATAACAGTCTTGGCGAGAATTTCCTACAACCATGCGTGACAGAACAGTCATCTGGCAACACTCTATAAACGCACTGCCAAACAGTTGCTGCATTTCCAGAGTTTAGGTGATGGTCACCGCTGTACTTTGTCCAAGGAGATTCTTTCTAACAATAAAAATGTCATGATATATAAGTATTACAGCTTTTCAGCATGCTCAGTAGTTGTAGGTACATCGTCCAAGAGTGTCTCACAATAAACAAAGTGTAACCCTTCCTCAGCACATCATTGGTGGCACAGATGCTACAGTTTACTATTCATTTTCACCAACACTCACTATAATTAATTCACATTAATATAAAGATATCGGGGTAGTACAAGGTATAAAAGCTTTCACCTACCGAGACGGTCACTTTTCCCTGAAAAATGTACTCCTTGTACCTGGAGCTAGGTTGGTGGTTCACTCCTGACGACAGCAAAACCAAGCTGCTCCCAATGCAGATAAGGAAGTGTGCCAGGTTTCCTAACACATCCTAGAAAGCAGTATTTGTAAATAAGCACGGTAGGAGTCAGCTTTCTGAATGCAGAATGGCTCAGCTATTTGCAGAAATGCCCAGAATTGCTGGTTTGAATCAATATTGCAGCTCAGATACTGATGTGTACAGAGTTACTGCTTAGGAATGAAACTTAAATACCTAGAAGAAAATTATCACCAGCATAAAGCTCTCATGCATGGAGGTTGCAGTGTTTTGGTTGGGTGTGTCAGTTGTGACAAACCAGGGCCAACATTTAATAAGATACTTTATTCTACTATACTTTTGCAAGGTTGACAATTTCATAAATGTGGCCTGCTCTTTGCAAACAATAATGTTCTGTCTCTCACTTTCTTTAATGTTTTGTCACTATGAAGATGAAGAGTTCCTACAACATAATCTATACCAACTTGCATTTCAATGCAATGCAATGCAAATGAGACTCCCCTATTGGCTCTACACCAGAGGTCCTCAACTCACCCCAGCAAGAGGGCTGCAGTCACAAAATTTAGTGAGTGCATCAAAGAAATAGTAATGGGATTTCACAGGTTTAGAAAAAATATCGATACTAATCTCCAGAATGACAATTATAAAATAAGATTTTTTGCTCTTCATTGATTTTTAAACACATCATGACTGCATGAGGTACCTCCAGAAAAAATGCTTAAGATCAGTCCCATCTCTGTAGCTTACCTCAACGAAGTGTTATCGATTGTGACAAGTGAGAAAATAATGCAATACCATTTAGCTCAGTCACAACAGTTTACGCCTTGTAAAGCTGTGGGCCGCAAGCAAAGGGTTCGTAGGCTGCGTGAGGCCCGCAACCTAGTGGTGGAAAACCCCTGCTCTACATAAAAACTGTTCGACAAAAATTGAGCTCTTCTTCAATTTTCGTAACGCACAAGAAATGAAGGCCAAATATGATAGAACCATCACACAAAAAAATTATTGAAGAAGGTAAACTTTAAAAAGAACACTTACTAAGAGGGATTTTGACAGGGCCAGTGCAGTGGCACCCGAGAGAACACAGCTGAGGAACAAGAGACCGTTCATCATCAGGGCACTGAAATTGCCCAGTATGAACAATGTCTCATCTGTTGTGCCCAAGAAGCCCCAGGAGACACCTCTGTAAGATGGATTGCAGTACTCCAGCATCATCTGGATGCATAACACGTTCAAAACCTGCAAATGAAATATGTCAAAGGCCATCAATTATAGTTTAATTAGTGCTATGATTAGGGCATGATCCCGGGCCTCCCTCCTCCTCTTTCTTTTTTTACACAGACCATACGAACTTCAAAGGACATAAATTCTCAATAATATTATTGTATTACTATTGTATATTGAGGAACAAAAAGTGGCTGAACATTACATTATTTATGCACATATTTTAATGTTGTGTCCAAAGAACAAAGCATTTTAAACCTTTTCTAACCATAGTTTATACAGAACGGTGCAAATAAGCCAATTGTCATTTGCCACTGGCAGCTTCCTGCAGTCTTTTAAAACAAAGTATAATTTGTACAAATATCACCTGCAAAATTCATTTCTTCCTTTAAAAAGCTCCTTGAATAAAGTTTAAATATTGAGAGCAGTCAAAAAGCAAATGCCCTATGATATTTAAACTCTTACAGGCTAACATGTACAGAAAACCAACATAATAACAGTGTTCATTACCAATAATATTTAAGAGTCAACTGCACATGCATAAGAAATCAGAACACAGCAACAAAGTAACAAGAGAATACAACCAGCATCTTGTCAAATATTACACTTTTTCTCTAGAACCAAGCGGGAAATCGGCTAGTTGTGGTGTCAGAAGTAAAGCTACACCTGCACAAAATGCAGTCTTTTGCATAAGTACTATGTCCACTGTCAGTGAACTGCACATTTTGCATGTTGGAATGCTCATACAATAAAACAACGCACCAAAAGTGTGCTTTTACACCTCGAACATCTTAAACAGCTTTTTAACACACTAACCACTGTAACAGATGTGACAGGCACATAATAGAAACCCAGTGACACTGTAATTAAAAAACCTGTACCAGTGTGTTACCACTTTCAAAGCATGATTAAAAACACAGACTAAAAAGAACTAACTTTATGCTTTTGCATCAGTATTATAATCGGATAACAAATTCTCTATAGCATAACAGCAGTTAGAGCTTCAGAAATCTGTCATGTACTTGGCTGCAAAATGAATATGTATATTGTGGCTGCAAAGAACAACCACGGGTCACCTGACCATGCTTTATGGCTTTGTCCTTTTCCTTTGTACAGCACATTTTATAGAAGACATCTTTGGAGCTTCATATTTTACTGCATCAAACCAGACTAATAATAGCCAAACTACAAAATTATTTGTGTGACATAATTCCGTTACACTATATTTGCTTTTGTCCTGTGCCTTGCACCCCCTAATTCGAGGTGAAAGTTGCCATTTGAAGCTTTAATGGTAATTGGTCACCTGTAATAATGACTGAACTTCCATTCATGTGCTACAATGATTAAAGGGCAGAAGATAAGGGGAAGATGGAAGTCTAAAGAGATGAATTATTTATATACAAAGGGTGCTGCAGGAGCCGACATTTTGTCCAGTAGTCGTCGGCTTCACCAACACCTTGTGTTCACAGCTCTTTCATGTCAATAATGAAACGGCTTAAAAGAATGAGGATAGTACTCATTACAGCAGTTTAAGCAACAAATACTGTTATGACCATCTGCCTAATTAATATATGACATAGAATTCTCAGCAAAATCATTGAGATGAAAATTGGACAAATAAGCACGCACTTTCTAGCTAAGGAGAAGCGGAACAGGGCCGATTCAAAAAACGGCACCAGACTTCAGCAGCGTTAAGCTCTAGGGGAATAGTTTCTGAGGAGTACCAATATCAATATTTGTCTGCCTGCGCTGTGAGTCTTGTAAGAGTGCGTCGTGATGGCATATCAGTGTCACACTTGCGATTTTGAAAGTGCCATCCTTTTAATTTTAACGTGCTCGTCCATTAATTTTTACAGACATGTATAGGCATTTTGGTTTTTAACGTAATTTAGTTAAATTATGTTGGCTGGTCATTTATACCCAATAGCGATGTGTTGACGAATTTACGGGGTGAAGTCCTGTATGAAGATATTTCAGAAGAGGGAAGCTGTTTATGAACAATAATTGCCTATTGTAAAAAAAAATGTCTGAACGGAAAAATTCATCCACAAACTGCCAGGCGGTTTTACGTTGAAGGCGAAAATGAACACGTTACCAAGTGTAGTAATTTACACCAAAAATAAGTAGATTACACTCACAAATCAGTATTGACTGCATCGGTCGAGTGATAAGAGCCTAAATTACCATTTCTATAAGTTTAAGCACTCCAATCAGGCTGAAGCAATAGCGGTAGTTCAGTCCCAACATGGACTGCAATGTTGCGTTCCCGCTCGAGGAAACGGGAAGTAGCGGCTTGTTGCTGCTGTCCATAGCGGTCACCGACATCTACACTTCCCGACTTCTGAACGTAAGCATGATTCATGCCTGCTGCACATGACAGTCTACGCCAAACAAACACAGCAAAGAAGCGTTTCACCGAGGACACATTTCGTATGTAGAAGAGGTGGACATCAAGACCAGTAGCAGCTTCGTCTGAAGGAGTGTCCAATTTCTACGCATATCGACCACGTAACGACACATTATCAAATGATTACGTGACGCAATCAGTAGGCGGTGGCAACGTCTACGAAAAATCGGCGCTCATCCGCAGCATCTGTGCACAATCAGCCCATACCTACTGGACGTGCGAATAAATCAGGACTACTAGAGAAGAGTTATTTTAACGGGCCTCAAGACCATGCAACGCCTCCTGTAGAGAAGGCGTTGGACCACAGAACACCTACCAGTTTGCTGAGCCCATTTTTGTCGCTTTTGCTAATATGCTGTGCTAACTGTTTCAACTCTAGTTTACGACACATTTCCTTGGCTTGCGTTTTTACTCTATCTAGACGAATGTCGGTTCAACATTTGAAAACAGAGCCAATATCTGTGACTGCCTTTTCTAGGTACAAGTAGTTAGGAAGAACAGCGAAACCACCCTCCTTGTCCGACGGCACTCAGCATGTCTTTTTTCTGCCAAAACACGTAAAGTCGACATGCTCGTCCGAGTCATTGTGACCGAAAGTGGATTGTGGCAAAAGCAACTCGGCCTGTTTATTTAGACCCATCTAAAGTGTCTAAGGATTGAAGACCCATTTTTGATCAAAAACTTGCAGGCACTGATAGAATTTTTCAAACAGTCAAATGAATCTAATGTTTTTGGTTTTTCAATTGACATAAAGAACCTATACTACTCCACTGCCTCACGATCAGGTATTAGAATGTATAAGGGATCACATAGAAGTCTTCGGGGAATTGAACTTCCAATTAAAAACTGGCATCAGTGCCAATTTTTAATTGCGCGATCGAGAATTCCTTAGGCTTTTTTTGCTGTACCTTACCTCTACTTTCGTTCAATGGAATGATTGCATTTATCTGCAGAAAAAAAAAAAGATGTTTCAATCGGCTCATGAATAGCACCTCTACTCAGTGATCTACTATTGGCAAAAATGGGCAATAAACTGCAGAAAAAGTAGAGGGCACCCATGTCGTCAAAGTATTCAGATACGTGGATGATTTCCTAGTTTTTCTAAAGTGTAACCCTTTTATGTTGCACTCGATTGTGGCCCAAACGATAGGTGTGTTTGAAAATTGTCTAAAACCTCTTGTGTTGACACATGAAATGCCCGAGAATGACAAGAATTACGCTTTTTGGATGTAAGACTGTTTTTTTAACTCACAGCACATTTGTTGGTGTAATGAACCACGTGCGCAGAAACATTTACTTCCTTTTTCTTCCACTCACAGCAAGCTATATTTAGGCGAGACATAGCACGAACCTGTCTTAAGTATGCCTCAAATCGGTCGTGCGTTCACAACATCTCTGCGAGCTTCAAAGTTCAGTTTCCCGGCTTAAAACTTCCGGTTTTCCTGAGGCGTTTATCGCTTCCGTTGCTGAGACTATCCTGCGGACTAATAGGGCAGAGCAGAAGCAGCTACAGGATATGAGCAACACGAATACAAAGCGTGAAAGGATAGCCATGATTCCATACAAACACCAGATATAACAGACTCAAGAAAATCGGAAAACGAGTTGGAGTTCGTGTCCATGTTCTCTGCACCGTTCAAATTATTCAGCCTCACCAAATCTGCAAACCCCCTGAAAACGCAGTCATCAACGGAATGTAGTTCAGCATAGAAACAGGTATGCGGCATATATATATGCTCCCGGGAAGTTGTATATAGGATACCCCTTTCATGTGATGTTTATTTTTATGTCGGAACGACCGGAGGGTGTCTGAACGATCGACTGAGAGAACACGCTAACAATGTTAGAAACGGGAAAGATGGTTTTCTTGCTCAGCACTGCACTGAGTGCAACTGTGTGCCCCTTTTCAAGGACACAGTGACGCTGTACAAGCACAGGGATGAGCGCACGCGAGTCATCGTCGAGGCCGCGCAGATGGCACGCGAACTAGGTGTCATGCATTAGCAAGCCCTCCGTGTCTCTGTCCGAGAAGGAACTAAGGTTCCTCGAAAGTATGGGTGCGCGCAAGTAGTTATATTACCTTTACTTTTCTGTTTCGTTTCCTTTTTAGACTTTTGTTTGCCTTTTTCTGTGCTTTTGTTTTTCTCTTACTCATGTATTGCTTTTTGTGCCACATGGTTTTTGTCACATGGTTTAGTGTCTCCTCTTTTATTTTCGGGCTCTGCGCAATAAACTCAGTTGGAAGTTAGCACTCGTGTCCTTCTTGTCTCTGTGGCGTCGTTGTGTTCTCGCGCTATAACTGTCGTCATGTCATACCAATTAACTAGCCCAAGCTGCCCCACTTCTAAGAGGGTGCTCGAGTTACTCCAGCTAGAGTGTACTAAAAGTGTTCTAGTACATTCTACCCAGCTGAGCGCCGGTGGTGGCTACATGGGTTGTCGCTGGTTTAAGATGAGTTTCAGCAAAGGAGGATTAAAAAAAATTGCGGGAATGGATGCTCCCGCAATGCCTTGCCAGCTGAAGTGAAGCCAGCTTTTGCCACTGCCAAGATGGCGGAAACATGCTCTTTTCTGATAGTGCCCACTTAGAGATCAAGTGGCTTTGATATGTTAGTGTAAATGCTACGTTAGTTCTATATTAAAGAATAGTTGTTCCCGACAAATTAACACACAGAAACGAGTATGGGTGACTGAACTTCCCAAAAACTTTGCCTCCAATAACAGCCTCACTAAGAACAACTAGTAACACAAGACGCACTTGGAGCACTGTGTCACCCGAAAAAGTTTCCACATTACACTCGTTGGGCGTGCGAGGGTTACGCTCTGTTCTTAGTTGCTTAACTAGAGTGTACTAGAAGTACTAGTAGCTGTGTTGAGTGGCGGGACCGCGCCTCGCCACCTGATCCCTTCCTTGTTGCCCGCAACGGCGACGCTGCAGTTGAATGGTACTGAAAGAGCCGCGCGGCCGCGGCCCGTGCAGGAGCTGCTATGTGCTTCGGCTCCTCCGTCACGCTTTCTTAATGCAGATTTCTTCGTACCTGCCCATCACTCATGTCTACCAGCCGTTCCTGCTCACGGTTGGTTATTTTTTTTATCCACTTTTCTTTCTTCTTATTTACATTCCATTGGTTCTAATAACTTTCCCTATACATTCCATGGCATTACTGTCTGTTTGATCTCATTACTATTGTGTCAAAGCACGTGCTACATGACGCCACATATGCGCATAAAAGGGTGTTTCACACTCGTCGCTTGGCTTATAGATGGCGCTGACTGACGCTCCTACTTCTAAATTCGCATATAAACCCAAAAAAAGTGGACGGAGGGAAGGCCGCTGTGATAGCTCAGTGGTTAGAGCATCGAACGCGTTATTCGAAGGTTGTAGGTTCGTTTCCTGCTCACGGCTGGTTATTTTTTCATCCACATTTCTTTCTTCTTATTTACATTCCATTGAAACTAATAACTTCCCCTATACATTCCTTGGCATTACTGTCTGTTAGATCTCATTATTATTGTGTCAAAACACGGAAAAACGAGCCCTTAGGTATACACTTCTTTCCCTTATATATATATATATATATATATATATATATATATATATATATATATATATATATATATATATATATATATATATATATATATATATATATATATATGTTTTAATCGCAGCATCATTCTGCATCAGCACCTATCACAGCATCAGCTGCTGTGCTGACATTCTGTGTCTAAATCGAGGTTGGAGGTCATCATCGAGAGAGCTGTCATGCTCGCTGTTCTCATCACCACTGTCATCACTGAGAGTGTCAAAGCCTATTTCACCTTAAACGAAGGGTGTGCAATACTGCACATGCAGCAACAATACTGGAAGAACGTTGCGGTGAGTAGTGAGGGTACGGTGCCACTGAATGCAGCGAGAACAGCTCTTCAGTAGCCCAATACAATGCTCCACTATGGAACGCAATGAAGCATCTGCAGAGTTGTATTTGACTTCTGCACTATCCATGTGAAGACAACCTTTCACCATACCACAAGTCAAGGCTCGAGGGGGTAGCCATCGTCACCTGCAGAAATATGAATTGTGTTGTTAATACTGCTAAAATGACTGGGATCTCTTGAAGCTTGTTGACCCTAGAATACAAACAGCTGAATCAGTGGTACCTGACTAGCCTGACATTGACTCCGTATTATGCGAAACATCTACTACGATGAGGTTGTTAGCACATAGTGCATCACGTAACAATACTGCAGCAGTTAAGCCACAGCTGAAAGATTGTGCACCAGCAGCATGCGACATAATGCCACAGAGTGCGCTGAAGTTTTATCAATACCGCGAGGAAATATCTCGATGTACGAAAAACTGGCATCTTCGGGAAAACTGATGCAACTTGTGCCTCTTCCATAGTGGAGTGTGGCTCTCCCCAACGTTACTAGAATAAACTCGGGTTGAAATCTCCGCTGGAGGTGTGGGCCGCGAGGCGGTTGCGAGAACTAGAGGCCGTGCAGTCCACTTTTGCTCTGCGGCCGGCGCATGCTGCAGTGATCGGCCAAAGTCTATTTCACAAAAGACGCAAAGGTTCAGGCGAAATGCGTTTTAGAAGCTATTGCCAGGGACATCAGCATCAGCAGCTACGATGTAAACACGACTTTCCGAGCTTAGCAATTAGCGTGGCCATTGAGCGCCAGCTTCCCGTAATCTACTTGCACAGCTCCGCCACCCGTGTACGAAAAGCAGCGGCCGCGGAAAGCAGTCTGTATATTAACCCTATTGTGTACTACTATAATTAACTCTATGGCAATAATGGAGAAGGCGATGGCCAATCCAAGTCGCCGAAAACGTCACTGCGCATATGCGCGGCCGTGCCGAGTAGCAGTACATGTCATTTTTTAGACAAAGTGTCCCAGTGAACCACAAATATTGTATGGACATCCATAGTACTTATGTTCCTCATGCACACTGTGAATGTCTCTTAGATATCCATAGAAATCCAAATTACGAAGATTAGCTGCACCTGCAACTATAAAATGCTCATCCGAACAAGGTTGCAGGTACGTTGCACATGAACGCTGAATGGACATTTAAAAGATATACATAAATATTACATAAATAAAAGCTTTTTTCATGCACTGTTCACACTTACCACATGTAGTTGGTGTGTTAGACCTGCAGTCCCATGACAGTCTTGCTCATAGCTGCTCCGCAGTAGTTTATAGTGGGTATTGAACACTATAACGTACAGCCGAGCAGCAATGAGAAGACTGCCATGGGACTGCAGGTCTAACACACCATCTACATGCGGTAAAGCATAAAAGACGTGAAGCTGGCCGGATTGCTGTCAGACATCAAACTTAATTAATAATGCCAGCCTCACGGCGTTAAAACTTTCTATAAATATACCACACCAGCTAGGAGCCAGACTGCAGTGGGAGCGCAGGCCTCTGGCAAACAGAACTATACACGCAGCGAGCCTGAGGATGTGCATTGAAAAAAAGTTCTTATTCAAAAAATATTAGCAATATTTGGTAAAGAAAGCCCAAACAGCCTGACATTATCATCAAGTAAAAGCTGCCGTCTAACCTGCATGTTTAGGCTGGGTCCTTAAAACCTTAGATATTTATTGCAGCATACACCACATTGCTTTCAAACACATTTATTGAACATAAAATTAAATCGGTCTTTGAATGTAAGTGAAGGTATGTGAATGAAAAATTATAGTACAAAATTATTCAATGAAGTTCGCCTTGAACGCTTCGAAGTGATGTGAATAAAAAATTGTTCAACGAAGTTCCCCTTGAAAGCCTAAAGTTATGTGAATAAAAAATTACTATAGAAAAGTCTTCTATAAAGTTCGCCTTGAACGCTTCGAAGTGATATGAATAAAAAATTGTTGACCAAAAATCCTCGACGAAGTTCCCCTTGAAACTTAGAAGTGTGGCAGCTTGGGCTAGATGGTATGGCATAACGATAGTTATAGCGCGAGAACAAAACGACGACACAGAGTCGTCGTTTTGTTCTCGCGCTATAACTATCGTCTTCCCCTTGAAAGTTTCAAAGTTATGAGAATGTACAAAAGTTCAATGAAATTCACTTTGAATGCTTTAAGTGATGTGAATGAAAAATAGCTCAACGAAGTTCCCCTTGAAAGCCTAAAGTTATGTGAATGAAAAATTACAATACAAAGGTCTTCATTAAAGTTCGCCCTGAACGCTTCAAGTAATGTGAATAAAAAAAATGCTGCACGAAAATCTTAAACGAAGTTCCTCTTGAAAAGAAGGTCCACTTGAAAGCTTCATAATGCACCATAGCTACTCATCACAGCCAGTTGACCCTAAGAATACAAGAAAAAACAGAATCAATATAAGCTATCCAGAAACAGTGAAAAGAAATACTATAAGACATTCCAAGCAAGAGCACACCAGCAGTACTGATACTCTATATTACCATAAGCAAAAAAAAATGCTTGGCTTAAATTGTGATGCTCCACTCCTGAAGTTACAAAAGAATTGAGAAAAATGATGCCTACTTCAGAAACACAGCAAATGCAGATGACTAATGCATACATTAGCAATAACGATGTTACTCATTTCAGCATATATAAGTATAGATAGTTCTAGAACCTAAAAAGCACTTTAAAATGCCCTTGGGTCTTACGAGTATGAATGCATACAAAGACATTTCACTAATTTGTGCTTCATTGTAAATGTCAGTTTCAAAACATCCTACTACAAAAGAAAGTGATGTTCTCATACAACATTGCAGCAGCTAAAAACTACACTGGACACAAACTTGAGTATCCAGCATATGCACAATTGTCCGCCACATTCTGTCATAAAGCTATCGGACAACATTAATCTTCCTGAGAATTTCTCAGAGGCGACTTAACGACCAAGTATGATGAGAAACATAACCAATAAAGGGATCAACAATACACCAGAGCATATCACAAGATTCTAGTCGAAATGAAAACTAACTTTCGTGACTATTTTGATCATGCCACTTGAGATTTAAGTAGGAAGTATAAAGTGCGACATAAAATTAAAAAAAAAGTGCATGTACCACTTTTGCGGGGATGGCTTGGTACTATGTGACACAAAATTGAGATATATATAGAATTTCTTGTCATTTAATGCGTTATACTTGTTCTTTAAAACTGTGGTCTTTATGCCACACAGCCATGTACATTTTATTTATTCGATAGCATAATGAGATAAAATAATCTAGGAAGAAAAGCTGCCCTCATGGCAACAGTAGAGCAGCACACTTGCTGTGAACTGTGGTGTCCGAGATTGCATGAAGATGCACTTGAGTGCTTTTGTAGGCAAACTCAAGTGTGATTACATATACTGTAGTCTTTATGTGAGATTCAAAATGCTGTATACTAGTTTTACCATAAATAGGTGCATCCACTGGATGAGCAGAACTATTGATATTGCCTATTAACTTACACAAATGCTGGTATATGACTGTTATCATGCTCACTCATCACTGTTTCTAGCTCGTTTTCCAAGCACGAACTAATCCATACAGCAAATGCAAAATTTTTTACAGTGCTTTCCAATTACATCACACTGACAGCTGTCAGTTCCTTTAAACTGACTGCAAAACGCATAGCAGCTTTATTACCTCTTGCTGCATTTTTGTGCCTTGCCGGGGCATGACGCAACCGTTCTCGAACGGCTGCCTGTATGGTGAATTCATTCGCAGGGTGAACCTTTTGCACAGCACCTTTGAGAAAGTCAAAGCAATAATTAATTGAGAGACAAAAAGTGACACACACTTAAAAATTCATTGAAGCCAATAAATAGCCTGATTTGGCCAACAGCCTGATTTCATCTCAGATGACAATGCTCAAAGGCGGATACAAGATTCTGTCCAGGGGGAGGGAGCAGCTATATAGAAGTCTGATACTTAAAGCTTCGGATTAGTAATAAATTTGTAAGTGCAATATTTTGTGCACTGTGATTATATTTCCCATGTTGTTCTTTCATTGATATAGCTCTATTTTCATGTTCAAACTAACGTGTATATATATATCTATATATATATATGATTGATATCTGGGGTTTAACGTCCCAAAACCACTATATGATTATGAGAGACGCCGTAGTGGAGGGCTCCGGAAATTTAGACCACCTGGGGTTCTTTAACGTGCACCCAAATCTGAGCACACAGGCCTACGACACTTCCGCCTCCATCGGAAAGGCAGCCGCCGTATATATATATATATATATATATATATATATATATATATATATATATATATATATATATATATATATATATATATATATATATATATATTAAAATAGAGGTGTTGTACGTCGAGAAAGGTTCCCGCGCAGCTTGGCAAAATGTGCTTTATCAGGCGGCAGGTCTGGCTAATGGCGAGCGGCATGCGCGAGCTACTACTAGCCACCGAACATCGTCTTCTTCATTACCAGCAAAGTGTCTGTTATTCAGATTCATTACAATATATATATATATATATGTGTGTGTGTGTGTGTGTGTGTGTGTTCCTCGAGTGTTGTGTTCAAGCATTCGGAACATGCTAGCGATGAAAACACTGAAGAAAGAATACCAATGTCCATTATCCTGATCCCTTGGAGCGCAGAATTCTCTAATGGAGTCTGGTATGCCTTGTTTATGTCCTTAAGCTTCTTCGCGGTCACCGAAATACCGGCGTTTGTGTCAGCAAGCAGCCTCGTCGCCGTGTAGCAATTTCCAGCAAACTTGCCCTCCCTCGTCTTCTGTGTTCCGCACTTCCCCATGCTGGTCGTAATATGGTCCAGGTGGCCTAAGGATACAGCCCTAGAAGCGTTGACACGTGAAACAAATGCAGAACGAAGCGTGAAGTAGCCTGACCAAGGCAAACAACAAAAATTCCGACGAGCATCATGCATCTCCCTTGTGGTTGCTGTTAGAGATTAATGAAGACTTTTAAACACAAAGTTGTATTTATTGACATCATCTTATATAACAGTCACAATAAAATGCATAAAGTATTTTGAATAGCACTATTATAGACGAAACAACACTTGCTTTCTAAAGCGATTTCTTGAAACCGAAACCACAGTTGTAAATGTGGTTTCGATTTTGCTATAGGAGCATAGGGCATAGACAACTTGCTGTAACTCGCAAACTAATGACGCTATGAGAATAACTTTTGTTGCAACATATATGTGAATGTTTGGGCATGAAATAAAAACAAAACCCTAAAAATTGATTTCGCAAAAAAAAAAAAAGAGACTTTTGAAGGTGGCCTACCACCTTAAGACATTTACTGATAAAACGCGCCTCACGATTTTGCGTAAGCAGAGAATGCAAGCAAGTGAGGAATACTAAAACACGTCAGGGGGTGATTCAACACAGACGAATTTTAAGGGGGTGCCTTTCCATGCAGTGCAAGGGCGGCACTGCGTTATAATATAATGGGCTGAGGGCGCTAGAAAAAGATTTTTCGTAATAATAAAACTCTGTCAAAAACTTCTTTTCTCATTACACCTACTTGATATTGCTAGTGGAAAGAAATGTTTTTGTAAAACGTAGTGATTGCTTTGCCTTTGAATGAAACTTGGTTTTTCAATAATGGTGGTTGTTGCCCCAGCACCTTGTCGCGCTTACATCGCAGCCCCATATCTCCCCATGCTGATGTCCCTGGCAATAGCTTCTAAACCGCATTTCGCCTGAACCTTTGCGACTTTTGTGAAATAGACTTTGGCCGATCACTGCAGCATGCGCCGGCCGCAGAGCAAAAGTGGACTGCACGGCCTCTAGTTCTCGCAACCGCCTCGCGGCCCACACCTCCAGCGGAGATTTCAACCCGAGTTTATTCTAGTAACGTTGGGGAGAGCCACACTCCACTATGGAAGAGGCACAAGCTGCATCAGTTTTCCCGAAGATGCCAGTTTTTCGTACATCGAGATATTTCCTCGCGGTATTGATAACACTTCAGCGCACTCTCAAGTGGCATTATGTCACATGCTGCTGGTGCCCAATCTTTCAGCTGTGGCTTAACTGCTGCAGTATTATTACGTGATGCACTATGTGCTAACAACCTCATCGTAGTAGATGTTTCGTATAATACGGAGTCAATGTCAGGCTAGTCAGGTACCACTGATTCAGTTGTTTGTATTCTAGGGTCAACAAGCCTCAAGAGATCCCAGTCATTTTAGCAGTATTAACAACACAGTTCATATTTCTGCAGGTGACGATGGCTACCCCCTCGAGCCTTGACTTGTGGTATGGTGAAAGGTTGTCTTTACATGGATAGTGCAGAAGGCAAATACAACTCTGCACATGCTTCAATGCGTTCCATAGTCGAGCATTGTATTGGGCTACTGAAGAGCTGTTTTTGCTGCATTCAGTGGCACCGTACCCTCACTACTCACCGCAACGTTCTTCCAGTATTGTTGCTGCGTGTGCAGTGTTGCACACCCTTCGTTTAAGGTGAAATAGGCTTTGACACTCTCAGTGATGACAGTGGTGACGAGAACAGCGAGCATGACAGCTCTCTCGATGATGACCTCCAACCTCGATTTAGACACAGAATGTCAGCACACTGAGTGCACTTGCGTGGGCAAGCTGTCCGCAACTGTGTTATCAGCTTGTTTGGCATTACAAGGCAGCAACACTTGCAGAATTTAAGAAGAGTTTGCAGGTGACTGCACCGCCTGCAACAGACACAGCAGTGCTAAAATATTTGTGCTGCATTGCAAGAGCTTGACTATCCATGGTTCTTTAACATCCACCTAATATGAAGTAAATCGATGTTTCTGCATTTCCACCTCAGGTGCTCTCGCAACCACTGCTGTCAGAAGTGATGGGACACATGTCCACAAGTCTAGTAGTGTGACATCTTATGTGATCAGCTGCTACGGTGTTTCCAGAAACTTAGCAAGGAATTATGAAGCAGCAACACAGTCTAGCCCACTCGCTGGGAAGGAATTATTTTGGTGAAGGTTTTTGTAATTAAGATTATAGCCTGGGATATATGAGCTGAAACAAGAATGTGATTAGGAGGCACGTTTAACTTCAGGTCTTTGAAAAAATTGAACACCTCAGGTTTTTAAATTTGCATGTAAATGCTACACAAGCCTCTTGAATACCACCTCCATCGAAGTACGACCTCAGCAACTTTGATCATGCCCTTGTGATCCGTGTCCCCAGTCAAGCACTGTAACAACAATGCGCCAGTATCATTTTTGTCTCTGCTGCCATCCCGCAGCCGCCAACAATTGCTACCGTTGTCTACTTCATGCCTGCGCACTGTCTTCTCACTTCCTGTCTATGCGCCGCACACCTACTACACTATGTGACCTTCTGTAGCACATCCACCTCACTTTTCTTCTGGAATGGGACAACCCATACTGAAACAGATAGTCCAGCCTTTCAAGTAAATTTGGCTCATTTGTAAATGCTGAAGTAATGAGAAAGAATAAGTATGCAGTCATTTATTCAAGTTGCAACTGTAAAAAAAATTATTTTTTCATGCTCTTGCCAATTCTAAGATGGCATACACTTTCTGTAAATAATTGCATGTTACGGTATCATATCTTCAAAGCAGAGATTTATTACATTGCACACATTACAAGAAACATCATGCTGAATGAAACACTGTTTTGAATCGGTAGTTAATACTAGATTGCTACATATATACATGCGAGGCTTGCCTGATGAAATGAAGCCAAGTGATATTTCTTGTCTGCATCATTTGAGAAGATTGACGAGCACACGTAAAAGTAATGCGTGAAGATACCCTCACCTGACTGTGAAAAGTGGATTATTCAACACCGTTATGCACTACACTTGTCATATTGAGAAGCTAACTTGCAAGTAAAACAATACTAAAGAAAGAAAATTGAAAAGGGAAAAAATGATGATGCCCATGGTCGTTACTGTGGTTACAGCAAAGGCTGAGGAAATCCAGGCACAACGACAGCCAGGGTAGCCGAACGCAAGCCCCTCATTTCATCGGCAAGCTCCAGATGATGTAGACAAATCCCGCGACGTATTGCAGACCCTGTAATGCAAAAATATACAGGAAACACAAGTGATGCTCCTCCTGTTCGAGTCGGACGGGCAGCAAAATGTAGAATTCGTGATTGATTTGGAAAAAAAAAAGTTAATTATCAAAATAGGGAAAGCCAACCTTTTTCTTCTGGACATTTATAACACAGCCCAACCACAAGAAGTCAAACAGATTGGCTTCACTTGGCTTCTTCCGAACCTTGGCACAAGCGCCTCAATGTAGTATTATTAAGTATGACCTTGCACTTGAGCCTCATCCACATAGTAAAAGGATTGCAGAACTTCTTAGGTGTACTGCATGAATCCATAAGCATGTTGTTAATCAATTTATCAGTAGCAGCAGTAAACACAGCAAAGTTGCAGGGAGTACGTAACCTGTGTCGTTCGGATGTTGCACCTATTTCAGTGCACAGAGTATGTTTTCTGTTTGTCCCATTAAAATTATTCTCCACCTATCCATGGTGGGCATTATTTCAATTATTAGGTAATATTACTCAGCAGTCATCAAGAGAGGCCTTAAGTTCTTAATGGTTGTCCAGTAACCACGCTTAAGTTTTGTGCCTAGCTAATTTAGATACACAACAAAATAGTAACAGTGTCTGAAATGCAGGCTACACGTGCGACATGCATTGCAATGACCACTCTAAATCTGTTTTTTTTTTTGTTTAGTGCTCACCACCGTTTTTCTGTAAAAATTACTGTCTCTTTCCTTACCTTTGAATACATATGGAAGAAGCAGAGCTTTGAAAACGTTCTACTCTGCATAATAACAGTGTTCATTCTTTGTTATCTGTCTCTACTGAGCGTTAGTTTGCTTTCTGTCCGAACAATATCTTTTCATGCCAATAATACAAGTCAAATAACTAATCAAGTGATTTCTGAGGTACGCCAAATATGCACATCATACTTGTCTCCTGGATCGACCTCCTGTATAACCAAAATGTAACCAAGATGGACCAATTAGCTAAGTAATCTCCACTTCAAAAACGCAGTGCATCGAACACAGTGGAAACTGTACGCAGTGCTGCTCTGTCAACTGCACTCGTAACTTCCCGAAACTTGCCGACGAACTCGAAGCACTTCTGGCCGAGAAGTACAAAAATCAGGCCCGCCGCTTCTGGGAAATTCTACCAGGTGGCATCGTAAGTTTTTTCCGCTTTTTTCGTCCGAGTTCTTGCCGCAATGCGGTTAAAGACCAATGTGTAGTATATAGCATACCAATCACTAGCCGTCTAAAACAATTATGCTCATCAAACTAATCGTTAAATCATCGCAAATGAAACACCGTGGTGTGCAGAGAAACATGTTTCACAAAACAACTATCTTCTGCGAGAGTTCAATTAAGCAATAATCGTAAGATGCAGTGGGTAAATACATGAAGGCGCACTTCTGTGTTATGTATCGGGCTCTCTAACGACGCTCGCCCACGTATGACGTTCTTTAAATGAAACAGTCTTGCTTACCTGTCAATAGACGACAAAAGTGCAGGCTTTCCGGGATCCCACTTTGTTGTTTGTTACCTGTAAGAACAAAAGCGAAGTAAATATATCGCGATCGCGGTATGTCGGCTTTGTTTACTCTCCTTACGACAAGAATTTCACAGTTTATCCTTGTTCTTCGCAGCTTGCCATATCTTTGACCGACGAAAATACTCCCCAATAGTCGTGATTACATTCTTCTCGCAGATTTATAAGTCACAGAACGCAAAACGCAGCTCGCAAAGACGATCAGCTGTTTTTTTTTTTTTTTTTTACACACAGCATCCATTATGTGACTTGGATTGGATGCAAAAACGACTATCATGTGGCTTTGACTCTCAAAACACAAAAGTGTATCATTTACTTTTAGCAATATATTTCATTCATGTCAGCGCTACAATCCTATAAATTAAATTTCTTTTAATCTATGTGAACTGGTTTCTTTTTTTTTACTTGCTCACGTATAAAATAATTGGAATATACGACCCTTTTACGGCTGTCAGCCAGAAAGGCGCTAAGGTTCTTAAATTTTCCTCTTCAAAATTCCCCCAAAATACTAGAGATTTTTTCACTCGGGTAAAAAATAAATTGAATATACGGCCCCTTTGCAACTTTTAGCTAGAAAGTCGCTAAAGTCTCTTTTTGTTTTTATTTAAAAATTCAAGTTACCCTGATGGATTCAGTGAGAAATGAAAGGAAAGTGGGTACAAGTGGACGGGGTTGTACATACTTGCGCCTGAGCGCGCCCTAATTAGTATGTGGCCAATGAAAATAACAATGTACGTTGAAGAATAGTTAAAGGATAAGTTGTAAGCATCGCGCAATTCTTGTGGTGTCTTGCATTACTTAGGTTACAGCCAATCTTTTTGAAATGGAAGTAAAACAAAATGAAAGTAAAGCAGCTCTGCCAAGGTGGTTTTTCGGAATGACTTTGCGCGAAATAATGCAGTGCTACCGTTGGCGAGTTATTAATTACGTTTTGATTTATTCGACAAACGGGACGGCTAAGTGCTCTCCCATAGTTGAGTACGCAGTACTCTAAATCGTTTATCACATTTTCTAAACACGCAACCATTACGGCTTAGTGCTCTCCCATAGTTGAGTACGCAGGGCTCTAAATCATTAAACACATTTTTCTAAACACGCAACTATGGGACGGCTTTCGGCTCCCCTTGAAGTAGAGTATCTCGTACTGCTCTTTAATTACGCGACTGATGCAGCTTGTGCCTCTTCTATAGAAGAGTGTGGCTCTCCCCAACGTTACTAGAATAAACTCGGGTTGAAATGTCCGCTGGAGATGCGGGCCGCGAGGCGGTTGCGAGAACTAGAGGCGGTGTAGTCCACTTTTGCTCCCGCGGCCGGCGCATGCTGCAGTAATCGGCCGAAGTCTATTTCACATATAGACGCAAAAGTTCGGGCGAAATCAGGATGGGGAGATATGGGGCTGGGATGTAAGCGCGACTAGGTGCTTGGGCAACAACCACCATTATTGAAAAACCAAGTTTCATTCAAAGGCAAAGCAATCACTACGTTTTACAGAGACATTTACTTCCACTAGCAATATCAAGTAGGCGTAATGAGAAAAGAAGTTTTTGACAGTGTTTTATTATTACGCAAAATCTTTTTCTAGCGCCCTCAGCTCACGATATTATAACGCAGTGCCGCCCTTGCACTGCATGGAAAGGCACGCCCGTAAAATTCGTCTGCGTTGAATCACCCCCTCACGTGTTTTAGTGTTTCTCACTTGCTTGCGCGAAATCGTGAGGCGCGTTTCATCAGTGAATGTATTCAGTGCAGTGTCCAACGGGCAGCGGACGATACGGATTACATTTAACGCCTAGTGCTTTCGTCCGTATATGCACAAACAATGAGTGGTTCAAGGTACGTACGAGATATACAGACAGATAGATAGATATATACGTCTAAAGTTCACGAAGTTCGCTAAGAAATGCCTCCCATTCAAAAAAAAAAAAAAGGAAAAGCTTTCGGAAGGTGACTGCGAGGAACAATAATCGACGGAAGAAAATGGAACATGGATTTTGCCGTCTTAGGTGAATTCATAAAGTACTCCCTGTGAGCTTTTGTTTTCAAGGGCAATGCACGTTGAGCTGCAGTGTACGTTGATAGCATCTTTTAAACGGCTCAAAATAAAAGCATTTATTGTGCAGGCAAACCCCGCATGTCAATTATGCACATGTCACTCTCACGGTTTGACGTACTTTCGCGAAATGGCCTTGTACGCGGATCGTTTAGCAGGGACGTGCTTGTTGGTAACGTCTAATGCGTAGTTGTTATGCTTCGTTCAGTCGTTAGCTTCGGCTGCAATTGTGAAAGGTAATCCGCAAATTCTGACGGCCGGTACTGCATACTCCTTGAACCACCGTTTTTTTTTTTCTCTTTTTGTTTCCCTTCTATGACGTCCTCTGGTCGCAAATGTTGGCTACATGCTCGTGTATTAATCGAAGTCGTATTAGGCGACAATTGTTCCGCCTGATCGCGGCAAACCACTTCTCCCGAACACCAGCGGCAGCTGGTATTTCATTGAACGAAAGCCTTTCAGCTTTTTTTTTTTCGCTCGATTCACACAGCACTTAAGTTACGATGTAAACACGACTTTCCGAGCTTAGCAATTCGCGTGGCAATCGAGCGCCAGCTTCCCGTAATCTACTCGCACAGCTCCGCCACTCGTGTATGGAAAGCCGTCTGCATATTAACCCTATTGTTTACTACTATAATTAACTCTATGGCAATAATAGAGGAGGCGATGGCCAAGCCAAGTCACCGAAAACGTCACTGCGCATATGCGCGGCCGTGCCGAGTAGCAGTACACGTCATTTTTCAGACAAAGTGTCCCAGTGAACCACAAATATTGTATGGACATCCATAGTATTCATGTTTTTCATGGACACTGTGAATGTCTCTTAGATATCCATAGAAATCCAAATTACGAAGATTAGCTGCACCTGCAACTATAAAATGCTCATCCGAACAAGGTTGCAGGTACGTTGCACATGAACGCTGAATGGACATTTAAAAGATATACATAGATATTGCCTTTTATTAAATAAAAGCTTTTTTCATGCACTGTTCACACTAACCACATGTAGTTGGTGTGTTAGGCCTGCAGTCCCATGACAGTCTTGCTCATAGCTGCTCAGCAGTAATTTATAGTGGGTATTGAACACTATAACGTACAGCTGAGCAGCAATGAGCAAGACTGCCACGGGACTGCAGGTCTAACACACCAACTGCATGCGGTAAAGCATAAAAGACGTGAAGCTGGCCGGATTGCTGTCAGACATCAAACCTAATTAATAAGGCCAGCCTCACGGCGTTGAAACTTTCTATAAATATACCACACCAGCTAGGAGCCAGACTGCAGTGGGAGCGCAGGCCTCTGGCAAACAGAACTATACACGCAGCAAGCCTGAGGATGTGCATTGAAAAAAGTTCTCATTCAAAAAATATTAGCAATATTTGGTAAAGAAAGCCCAAACAGCCTGACATTATCATCAAGTACAAGCTGCCGTCTAACCTGCATGTTTAGGCTGGGTCCTTAAAACCTTAGATATTTATTGCAGCATATACCACATTGCTTTCAAACACATTTATTGAACATAAAATTAAATCGGTCTTTGAATGTAAGTGAGGGTATGTGAATGAAAAATTATAGTACAAAATTATTCAATGAAGTTTGCCTTGAACGCTTCGAAGTGATGTGAATAAAAATTGTTCAACGAAGTTCGCCTTGAAAGCCTAACGTTATGTGAATAAAAAATTACTATAGAAAAGTCTTCAATAAAGTTCGCCTTGAAAGCTTCGAAGTGATGTGAATAAAATATTGCTGACCAAAAATCCTCGACGAAGTTCCCCTTGAAACTTAGAAGTGTGGCAGCTTGGGCTAGTTGGTATGGCATGACGATAGTTATAGCGCGAGAACAAAACGACGACACAGAGTCAGCGTTTTGTTCTCGCGCTATAACTATCGTCTTCCCCTTGAAAGTTTCAAAGTTATGAGAATGTACAAAAGTTCAATGAAATTCACTTTGAATGCTTTAAGTGATGTGAATGAAAAATTTCTCAACAACAAAGTTCCCCTCGAAAGGTTTAAAGTTATGTGAATGAAAAATTACTGCACAAGTCTACAAAGAAGTTCGCCTTGAATGCTTCGAAGTGATGTGAATAAAAAATTGCTGACCAAAAATCCTCAACGAAGTTCCCCTTGAAACTTAGAAGTGTGGCAGCTTGGGCTAGTTGGTATGGCATGACGATAGTTATAGCGCGAGAACAAAACGACGACACAGAGTCAGCGTTTTGTTCTCGCGCTATAACTATCGTCTTCCCCTTCAAAGTTTCAAAGTTATGAGAATGTACAAAAGTTCAATGAAATTCACTTTGAATGCTTTAAGTGATGTGAATGAAAAATTGCTCAACGAAGTTCCCCTTGAAAGCCTAAAGTTATGTGAATCAAAAATTACAATACAAAGGTCTTCATTAAAGTTCGCCCTGAACGCATCAAGTGATGTCAATAAAAAAATGCTGCACGAAAATCTTCAACGAAGTTCCTCTTGAAAAGAAGGTCTCCTTGAAAGCTTCATAATGCACCATAGCTACTCATCACAGCCAGTTGATCCTAAGAATACAAGAAAAAACAGAATCAATATAAGCTATCTATAAACAGTGAAAAGAAATACTATAAGACATTCCAAGCAAGATCACACCAGCAGTACTGATACTCTATATTACCATAAGCAAAAAAAAAATGCTTGGCGTAAATTGTGATGCTCCACTCCTGAAGTTACAAAAGAATTGAGAAAAATGATGCCTACTTCAGAAACACAGCAAATGCAGATGACTAATGCATACATTAGCAATAACGATGTTACTCATTTCAGCATATGTAAGTTTAGCTAGTTCTAGAACCTAAAAAGCACTTTAAAATGCCCTTGGGTCTTACGAGTATGAATGCATACAAAGACATTTCACTAATTTGTGCTTCATTGTAAATGTCAGTTTCAAAACATCCTACTACAAAAGAAAGTGATGTTCTCATACAACATTGCAGCAGCTAAAAACTACACTGGACACAAACTTG